TTATGAATCCCTTTCTTAGCCATCACTTCCATCTAAGAAAACCTTTGAAAAAAGCTTTTCCTGTGTGTAACAAAAGATCTCATTTACCCCTTTTCCTTTCTCTTCAGAGGAGTTTATTGCCAATGAGGATCCAGTCATATGAAAATTTCTTTTTCCCAATCTTTGTCATTCCATTCATGCTGTTTCTAGAAAAGTGTAATTCATATCCGTAAGCACTCGAATAGTAGAGTAAGAAACAAGTGGCTCTCTTACCATTAAATGTCTGCTGTAAATGTGTCGGCAGAGGTGAGTGGGAAAGTGTTGCTGCGTGCTGAGTTCCTGGCTGTAAACTCTTTAGTAAATCTGAGGGGAAAACAGACTTGTCAGTCACCTTTAAGATTTGAGCCCTCTTAGATCAAACCTGAAAATAGCCTGTCTTATCTAATGCCAGCACAAACCCTGACTCCAAGTGCCTTCTAACACTAGAGCACATACATTTTAAAAGCTGACTTGTATAAATGGGGACCTGTGTATGCTAAGGAACTCCCAAACTTTGACATTCTCTTATAAAATTCATTACAATAGAAGTGTGGTATAGATAGTTCATCTATTCACTTTAAAATTCCAAATAAAGTCTCAGGGTTCAGTAACTTAAGAGATGAAATAAACTATTTTTCTTTGAAAAGATAATCTTAGTCTTCCTTAACTGCAGCTGGCTATGCTCATTCAGAATCAATTCACTGGTTCCCTTTCTGTCAAATCAGAAAGCCAGGCAGCAAAGAGCCCCACTTACTGTGAGTTAGGCTGTGATGGAAAGCTGCTGAGGTAGATCCTGAGGTGGTTGTCACTCCAGCTGTGTCCGTTCCAAAGCCAAGTAGCTCCAAGGGAAACTGGAAGGGCATGGTCACTGGAACAAGGCCACCCAGCATCCCAAAAGGAGTCACATTTTGATTTGTTACAGACAAAGGTGATGTCATGAGAGTCAGAGGTGAGGCATTAGCCAATAATGATGCTCCTGCTGTGGACTGTGCAGAAACCAGGGGTCAAAATAGATAAGAAATAAAGTATTTCACCTAAATTGATTTACTCAACATCTTCATGGATGCAAGATTGTGTTCTTTTATTTGTTCTAACAATCATGAGAAAGAAACTGACACAGAGGTGAGAAATATATTTAAGAGTTAACCAAAAATGAATGAAAATCTGCAAATGCCATTAAAAATTTTTGTACTCAGCGCATCCTCAGCACCGTAGTTTAATGCTCATTCTCTCCCAAGCCTTGAGTTCCATTCCCCTTCTCTACTTCTGCTCCAAGTCCACAGACCTGAGTCACTAGGAAAGAATTCCAGTCAAGTTCACTGGGACTAAACACTCTTGACACTCTCCTGTTTGCTTCAGCCTGCAGCTGCTGCTCCTGACTGCTGCTCTTCTTTGTCCTTCCCTTACCTGTCCTTCCCCAGGACGATAACTGATAACTGACTGATAACTGCCTGACTTATGCCAAAAGGAATCCAACAGCTAAGACTGACCTTCTAGATTTTCTCTGCCATCTCAGAGACCCTTCATTCTTTTTAAAAAACTTCACTGTATTTCTGCATCCTTCTCAACCTCTAGTATTAACCCAAGATTATTTGTATCCCTTTTTATCAAACTTACTGAATGACAGCCTCCACTTTCCACATTTCCCTTTTTATCAAACAACAGCCTCCATTTACCAAATGACAGCCACCATTTACCAAATGACAGCCTCCATTTACCAAATGACAACCTCCATTTTCCACATTTGTCAAGAACTGCTGAAAGCTGGTTTCCATTACGCTGCTTTTCTGAAATTACATTCTCTAAGGTAATTCAACAATGTTTTCCTACAACTCCTTGTTTGCTAACATTGGTGAACTACGGGAAGCTACTTAAATATACTTCTTGAGCTAATTCAATTCCTTAAACTACATTTTATTAACTAAACAATTTTCTACTTTCACATCTTTCACATGATGTGCAGTTATCAAACATTTAATATTACCCAATTTTATCATTATCAAATATAATATACTACAGTTCTGCCACTGGCAGTTTTCTTTCATTGCCTTACTTTACCAAATCCAGACTTCTCATAAGCCAAAAAATTTATGGTCTTAAGTTTGTTCAAGAAAACTGTATTTTTAAAGTTTCTATTTTGGATCTAGAGAAATGGCTCAATGGTTAAGAGCATTTACTACTCTTCTACAGAACTGAAGTTCGGTTCCCAGCACCCACTTTGGGTGGCTTAGAACAGTCAGTAACTCCAGCTCCAAGGGATCCAATGTGCTCTTCTGGCATCTGAGGGCACCTGCACCCAGGTGGCATACACATACACACACACACACACACACAAACACACACAAACATAAATAAATACAAAATCTTTTAAAAAGTCTTATTTAGGGCATGGTGGCACATGCCCTCAATCCCAGCACTTGGAAGGCAGAGACAGCTGGATCTCTGTGAGTTTGAGGCCAACCTGACCTACACAACAAGTTCCAGGCTAGGTAGAGCTACACAGTGATACCCTGTCTTATAATAATAATAATACACATTAGTCAATGTTGGTTTTATGTGTTATTTCTACTAAAATACCTTATTGAGGGCTGATGTTTTGCTTATCACACAGGGTGCCTTACTGTGTAGCTGAGGCTGTCCTACAACTCACTATGTAATGAAAGCTGACCCTGAACTCTTCTCAAGTGTTGTGATTACAGGCATGTGCCACTACACCCAGTAAGGGCTGAAGGTTTTATTTCTTAATATATAATATATACAATTTTCCTATACATACATGGCATTTAAATTTTTTTTAAATACACTTACGGGTCCATACCACTGCTGAACAAAAAATATCACATTCCAGAAGTCTTCTATTCTGGTTCCACCATCTTTTGGATCCTCTTCTCCCATCTCCTGTGTTATCACTGACATATCTAACCATAGTTCTGGCCATTCATCTATCTCAAATTTAATAAGTGAACCTAAGAGTTTAGTGAACATCACCACTTAGGTATCTGACACTCAACTAGTCTGACATGTCCAGACTGGAATCACCTTCTCCAACCAGACCTCCTACTCTGTACTGACTGCCATTAGCAGCACTCCTTTCCCATACACCCAGGCTTGCAACCTTAGTTTGCAGGCCTCATAAATGAGGGACAGATGAGCTCAGAATCAACAAGCCTGTTCCTCCTCCAAAAGAAACTTTTATTTTCATGTCCCCACCCCCACCCCGTTCCCAGAAACTTCTTAAAATACTAATCTCTACCATTTTGTTTGCACTTGATGAGATTTTAAAAAAATATATTTTTAAATTTAATTTTATTTTTACTTATGTGTAATGAGTGCTATGCATTTTGCCTGTGTCATGCAGTACCCACAGAGGACAGAAGAGGGTGTTGGATCCCTGAGAACTGGAAATACTGATGGTTGTTAGCTACCAGGGTGGGTGCTGGAATTCAAACCCAGCTCTTCTCCAAGAACAGCCAGTGCTCTTAATCACTGAGCCATTTCTCCATCCGATTTCATAAGTTTTTAAATTTGCCAACCCTTCTCTCTACTCTGCCATCCACGATATGAAGTGGATAGATTTAGGAAAAAAGAAAACAAAACACAAAGTTAGAAATAATGCCATAAATCAAAAGGACAGAAAGAATCCTGTATAAGTTTAAAAATAAGCAAGAGTTGCTCCTTTGTAATCATATTGTAGCCTTAAGATGGAGTCTCCAAGGCTGTGCCCATTAGATTCCCTTAGTGAGAAACACTAAATATCACTAAGGAGAACTATTAAAGTTTTTCTGAAGAGTCTATTTGACACATTAAAACAGAAAAGATAAATTGGGGCAAATTCCAAAACTTAAAAAAATTGAGTATCAGCAAAAAAAAAAAAAAAAAAAAATTATACTAAAACTTAACATTTTATACTTCCTAAGATTTTCCAAATACATTTTTGTTTATGAATCTAAATTGAAACACTAGGTAATTCAAATGTTACATTAACATTATAAATATCTCTCCTCTAAGAGACAGATCTTTCAGAAGTAGAAAATCCTATTGTTGTAACATTCGGGAGCATAGAGGGAAGCAGTCCACACTGACTAGATGAGCAGAGTAACATTTCAGAACCGAACACATTCTCCATCCTCTCTCCATTTTACTCTTAGGGGAAAATACAACCACGTTATGTTTTATTGAGCATATCTGTCTCCTATTTACTGAAACACCCAGAGTAATATTTTGAATGTAACCATATCATTCTCCTGATTAAGGTCACCCTCCAACAGCTTCCCATTCCACAAAGATTAAACTCCAAAGTCCATATTGTTGCCTATGAGGTCCTCCTTTACCCAGTGCTGGTTCCCATGCTTTGCTCATACAACTTTGATCTCAGGTTCTTTCCCACTTTAATGTCTTTACATTGCTAAAGTTTCCTCTAGCCTGGGTTGATTTTTCCCTCTTCCTTCCACATGGCTGTGTTCTGTTCTTTCAACTTTTAGTTGGCTTAAATATTACTTTCTGTAAGAAGCTTCCTCAGTCCCTGCTGCATATTAGCAATAATCTATATTTACCCTGTTTTTATATAGCACTTATCATTTAAAAAAATATTTTAGCTGGGCATGGTGGCGCACGCCTTTAATCCCAGCACTCAGGGGGCAGAGGCAGGCGGATCTCTGTGAGTTCAAGGCCAGTCTGGTCTACATAGTGAGCTCCAGGACAACTGGGGCTACAGGGAGAGCCTGTCTCAAAAAGCCAAAAAAAAAAAAGGATTATTTTATGTGTATGCCTGTATTGCCTGCATGTAGGTAAGTGCACCTGTGTCACGCAATGCCCACAGAGGGCAGAAGAGGCTGTCAGATCCTCTGGAACTGGAGTTATGGACAGTTGTTAGCTGCCATGTAGGTGTTGGGATTTGAACCCGGGTCTTCTGCAAGAACAGTCAGTGTTCTTAACCGCTGACCCATCTCTTCAGCCCCAGCACTTGTCATTTTTATAAAAAGAACTTGTGTTCAGCTTCGCTTCCTACCTAGAATCCATGTTCCATAAGAGCAAGGGTAGTATGCTGCTTATCCTGGTTCCCCAGCATGTAGGAGAGAGCCTGACACATTTGCTTAAGGAATGGATGGTTTTTTGAATTATGAAGTGGCAAATACAGGATCACAGAAAGTAAGCTGAAGAGCAAGAAAGAAGAAATTCTTGGGTGGAAAGTCATTAACTACTATTTGAACCAAGAAAGATTTTAACTTTCACCCTCTGTTAAAGTACTTGTCATTTTTCACTAAACAAATAAGCAGGTAGGACTGCAGATGCCTTTCAGGAGGTGAAGGCTTCACCGGCAATGTGCCCCAGCAGGACTCTCCTAGAGAAGAATATCTGCTTCAGCGCCTGAGAGCATCAGACATGATCAAGAGGTTGGAGGCAGCTGAGACAACTGAGAGATGCAACCTTACATTCACAAGGGTAGAGACGACCTTACTCAGTCTTTGACTTTTTCATCAATCAAACCAGTAAGACAGAGAACAACAGATAAGATATGAAGGCAGGACTCTGGGGTCTCCAAGTCATAAGGCCATTTGGGAGAGGAAGAGCACCAGGAGGAACAGTTACTTATCAGAAACAGAAAATTCTGCCGTATGGCTTTCTTGCTGACATTGTTAGACAGTGAATGGATTCTTTTGAGATAAATGACACTCAGGTACAAGAAGGTCTGGTAGATTCTGGAGATGACAAATGATAAAGGAAGATTTAACTACATACTCAAAGGCAAGGAAATAAGCAAAAGTAAGAAAAAGAAAAAAGTCACTTCCAACTCTAGGAAACGCCTCTAAAATTTTATAATAAACAAATGAAGGCATGGCTGTGATACTTAAATTAACACCATCATGGATTTAACCAAAATTTGATTACTCTTTCAGCAAAATAGTGCAACTATAAGAGACTATACTTAACACCATCATGGATTTATCCAAAATTTGATTACTCTTTCAGCAAAATAGTGCAACTATAAGAGACTATACTTAACACCATCATGGATTTATCCAAAATTTGATTACTCTTTCAGCAAAATAGTGCAACTATAAGAGACTATACTTAACACCATCATGGATTTATCCAAAATTTGATTACTCTTTCAGCAAAATAGTACAACTATAAGAGACTATACTTTTTTTATAATAAAATAAAAAGATAATATAGTCCTAAAATTCATCCAAGTAAGAGTTTTTCATTCATTACTCTTGCTCAGTGCTAGCTAGGCATGGTAGTGTGCACCTACAATCACAGCGCAGGGAGCAGAGGCAGAAGGCTGATGCTAAGGAGGAGGATATGGGATGGGGAACTGCCTCTTGGGTTAGAATTCTTCCATTTATCCTTTGATCAATTAAAGATTCATTTTAGAGTCAACATTTTGTAAATACAAACAGTAATAAAAACTATTTCCCAAACAGTATCTATAGTTAAAAATTTTAACAAATAACCCCCAATATCAATGCAATTTTGTTATTTACCCCCCCCCCCCCGAGACAAGGTCTATCTTGGCTAGGCTGGTCTTGAACTTCTGGGTTCAAGTGACCTGCCTGCCTCAGCCTCCCCAGTGCTGGGCTATAGGTGAAGAACATACCACTCAGTTTTATTATGTATGATGAAAAAAAATGGAAATAAAACAACAATCAATCTAAGATTTCAACAGATAAAGTGCCAGTAAAATAAATTTGTTCTATATTAGAATGCATTCCTAAACCAATTTAAGTGGAAGAATACTAATTTGGTATTAAATGTGTTTCGAATACAAAGCCTTATACTATACTGAACTGCACGGAGCCTCTATAATTAGCAAGAGGAAGACTTCATTACGTGTTCATATTCCACAAAAATAAGAGGGAGTACAAAGTTAAAGCAGTTCCTTAGACGACTCATTCCATAAGTCATAAAGTCATGTTCTCAAAGAATATTTAGGAACCCAAGTACTTGCATATCATAAAATGTCACTTTCTTTTTAAAGAGTAATTTAAAAAAATTTTTTTAAATTTTATGTCTATGAGTGTTCTGTCTGCAGTATGTAAATACACCATGTGTATGCAATGACCGGGGAGGCCAGGAAAAGGCATCAGATCCCTTGGAACTGGAGTTAGATGGTTGTTAGCTACCACAATGTGGGTGCTGGGAACCGAACCCAAATCCTCTGCAAGAGCAGCAGGTGTTCTTAACCACTGGGCCAGCTCTTCAGTTCCAAATGTTATCTTTTAAAAAAGCTCATTATATAACATATTATGTAAGAAAGCTTCTTAAAAAGAGCTTTAAAAAAAAGCCTGTATGCGGGGCGTGGTGGTGCATGCCTTTAATCCCAGTACTCGGGAGGCAGAGGCAGGCGGATGTCTGTCAGTCCAAGGTCAGCCTGGTCTACATAGTGAGTTCCAGGACAGCTGGGGCTACAGGGAGACCCTGTCTCAAAAAGACCAAAAATTAAGTAAGTAAATAAATAAATAAATAAATAAATAACAATAACAACAAAAAAGCCTATAGATAAAAAGTGGTGGGGATAGGTGGCTTTTATTCTCTTGTCTCTAAATTTGCTTACAGAGAACATTTATTATTTCTAGGAAGAAAAAATGTTAATGAAAACAAATCATTCGTGTGAAGGGCAAATCTCAAAATGCAAACAAGGTAGAAAAACAAACAATAGAAGTCAGAGTGACAAAATATATGAAAAATAAAGACATATCCAATCAGGTGTGGTTGGTGGTGGCAAGCCTATCCGGCACTTGGGAGGCTCGAGCAGGAGGATTTCTCCAAGTCTATGACTAGCCTGACTACACAGTGAGACCCTGTCTGAAAAAAAAAATTAGTTTTCAAAACAACCAAAGATAATGATAAGGCTGGGTGTGGCAGCACATGATGCAATCCCACACTTTGGTGACAGGAAGGAGTATCAGAAGTTCCTGGCCAGACAGGTCTACAGACCAATACCCTAGCTCAACAAAACCCAGAACAAACCTAGGATAAATGAATTAGAAACAATCATCAGACATATAATAGAATAAAATAATGTTTTATTTTAAAAAACTCTTAAAATTACATTTATTCATATGTGTGTGGGAGGGGGAGTGCACATGACATGACACGCATGTGGAGGCCAGAGGACAGCTTGCCGGAGTTGGCTCTCTCCTTCCACCACCTGGGTCCCCGGGGATCAAACTCAGGTCGTCAGGCTTGCTGGCCCAGAATAAAATATTCTTGAGCTGAAAAAGTAGCCACGTCTGAGACTCAAAAGGCTTATAATGGTCTAAGTACGAAACTAATGAAAACTAGATACTAACCTTGCTATAGTCTAAAGACACTGGAATGAAAAGGAGAAAGGAAAATTTTTCATTTCAGCCCAAATACATTACTTCTAAAGGGGAAAACAATAATCAGTACAGTCTCAGCCTTTTCTATAATCCTCAATACTAAGGAAGGTATTTGAAATAGAGGTTAGTAACCCATAAAGTCTATCCTCATTTATATGCGACAGCACTGAAAGAACTAATCAGCTGTGCAAAAGTTAAAGTGAGAAACATTTGTGTCTCTTCTAGCAAAAATTCCTTGAGTGAAGCACTCAGTTGATGGAGAGACAAGTTTAAATTAAAAACTCAGATTGGGAAACCAGTATAAAGGTCTATCACCACTAAGCTCAGAGAGAATTATATATTAAAAAGTTAATGCAAAATAAAAATTTTGATAGGACAAATGGTCAAAGAAAAATAAATGTATAATTTGATTAAATAAAAGAATGGCTGGCAGAAGGTGAGGAGACCAATGAGCACATGTTAAATTCCAAAGTCACTACTAACACTTTTTTCTTGATTTGGATGAGACAGTTTGTATGGTTTTGTTTGTTAGTTTTTGCAACAGGGTCTCATGTAGCCAAACCTGGTCATGAACTTGCTGTGTAGTCAAGGATGACTTTGAACTCTTGATCCCCTGGCTCCACCTCCTAAGTGTTGGGACTGCAGGAATGCACCACCATGTTTAGCTAAGTGATATCGTTTAATATGCACTTGAGTTTTTTTTTTTTTTTTAAAGAAAGGTCACAGAGTGATTTTTTTTTTTTTAATGCTGGGAACTGAACCTAAGGTTTTATACATGCTAGGCAAACTACTACTGAGCTAACAACCCCCCACCATCCCATCCCACCTTCAAAAACATTTTTAACTGGGTATGTTATACAGCCCAGACTAGTTTAGAACTCCTTACACGTAAGTCCAGGCTGGCACTGATCTTGAGATCCTCCTGCCTTAACCTTCCAAGTGCCATGATCATAGATGTAGAGCACCACACACCCAACCTAACACGGTACTTGGTTAGAAAAAAAAACAAATTCCAACGAAAACCTCACCCAGCACTATGATGTCAACATAGGAACATATCATGTCCATAGCTGTAATTAACACACAATATAATAAATACATGTCAATATATAAGCTCATTAAATGGCTCACAGAAAAGTTTATACACTCTTACATTTATCACATGAATGCACAGCATATACATACCTGCACACTGGCTGTAACCACTGAAGACCCTGAGGCAGAGGATGGTCTATGTGGAGTAGACAATGGTTTAGTAGCACCCTGTGTTCCACCTCCTGTTCCCCCAGATAGACTAGTCCTATTAGCTCCATTTGAGTTAAGGTTGCTACCCCTGCTGGCAGGTACATTCATTGCAATTCCACTCAAGCTGTTCTTCCCAACAGTTCCAGGGGATGATGAGTTTGTTAGTTTTGAAGGGGCCTGAAGAGCTTTTGTAGACGGAAGGCCAGAAGTGCGATTTGAGGGCAACAAATTCAGAGTGGGAGACTGTCTGCTGATGTTCATTCCACCGGGCTGCTTATGGACTGGGCTATTACTAGTGGAGTGGCTACTCTGGGCTACTAGTGCATTTGGACTGGAAGAACTTGGGCATACATTGGGTTTGGGTGCTGGGTTGGATTTAGAAATAAGTTTAGTTGATACTGAAGGCTTAGCTGACAGAGAGGGCTTGGGTGAGGGAGAAGGCTTAGGTGAGGGCAGAGGTTTGGGAGATGTGGCAGGTTTGGGAGATGCGGCAAGTTTAGGGGATGCAGCAATTGAGAAGGGAGATTTGAAACCCTGCGTGGAGATTTGTGATACCATAGCCTTGGCTAAATAGTTACTGGAGGTAGTGGTGCTTGGTGCTGTCCTAGAAACCAGGGGATGGGACCCCTGAGAACCATTTCCAGGTGATGGGGTAGACAAGGGGAGGCGATACATAAGTGGCTTATCTGAAGTCTTGAGTAGTGGGGATGAACAGGAAAGCTGGGGGTTATTACTTAATTTCACCACTGGGTTGGTCTGCGATTTACTAATGGTTGCTTGTAATGGAGACACATAGTTCTGTTGGACAGCTGAATGCTGGTGCACCTTTGTTATTTGTGTTAATGAAGAAGCATCTTGGGCCTCTGATGTTCCCAGAGCATGAGAGGAGGCAGCAACTTGGGCTTGGGTAGAGGAGATGTGAGTCTGTGAAGAGGAAGAAGCATGTATCTGGCTTGACCTTTGCAGTCCTTGTTGGAGCAGCCTGGCTGGCAAAGGTTCTAAGGAAACTTTAGGGTTCTGAATTGACGAACCAGCGATAAGGCCTGAAGAGATGCCAGTATGAGCTAAATCCTGGGGTTTCTTTGGTACTGGCCCTGTGTGACCAGCAATAAGACTTGATGAATGTGTGGTCTGAGTAGAATCTAGTTTTTTGGGAGTAGCCAGTGGCAGTTTACTCATGATACTTGCTAGTTTTTCTTCTCTCAGTCCAGGACGAGGTTTTGTAGTTGGCACACTTATCCTTGAACCCACTGTGGGGCCCTTGTTCCCATTGTTGATGACAGCTAAAGCTTCAGAGACCAGATCCAGTGAAGATGAGTGGAAGGAGAGGTCTTCATCTAGTGAGTCATCCAGGCAGATGGTTTCTTGAGCTGGTGTTGAGCTGGAGCTAGCTGAGGCCACAACAGGTGTGCTGGAGCTTGTGGAAGCCACCAAGGATGCAGACGCAGGAGCTTTGGGGTCCTTTTTTGGACTACACTCCTAGCATAAGTAGCATTATATTGGAAAAATACATAAGGTTAATAACAAATTCCAAAGTTAGTTTTTACAGAACTAAGAAATTCTCATGATGACTAAAATTTTTTTACTAGAAATTTTGATTGCAAAAACCAAAGTAACTTTGAAAGTTTCAAGCTCTACTCAGTTATCCTCACAACAGTGTCTGACACACTGCACTTGCCTTCACCAGTCACTACAAGGACCTGGAAATGAGGCTGAAGGATCACGTAGGCCTCAGTGCCATTACTGATGCATCCCACTTCTATGACTACCAGTATCAAATCCTCAGAACTGTTCCAACACCGCCTGTTCAGAAGCCTTTTCCCTCTTCTGGTCCTCAGGCCTCTCTGCCTTTACGTTAGACTACTACCCTTGTCCAGTACAACTTACTGAGATGCTGGCCCTTGCTCTCTACTGTTCTGCATTTCTGCAGCTGCCACCACCAGGACATAGGGAAATCAGTACATCAAACTGTCAGGTCGATCATTAAGTCATATTCTCCACATATTACAATGGAAATCATTTGTAATTTATCAAATATGTGTTTAGTAAGAGCCTGTCTACTGTGAGTAGGTCTCTATGCTAAGAAAACAATAATATTAAAAATTAAAATGTTGGGTAGTTAATAGAATGTTGTATTAAATTGTCTTTAAAAATCAAGGAAGAGATTAGAGAATTACAGTCTGAAATACGTGAAAAGGAGTCCAGCCTAGTCTACATAGTGAGTTCCAGGCCAGCTGAGGCTACAGGGAGACCCTGTCTCGAGAAAAAAAACCAAACAACAACAAAACAATAAAATAAAATAGTCAAAAAGAAAAGGGAAAAAATTTAAGCAGCTCTTTTTGGTTAAGAGAAATATAAAATACCTAATTTCATTTTTAAAAATTTAATTTGTTTATATATGTATGAGTATTTTGCCTGCGTTGTATGTTAAGTATACCAAGTGCAATGCCTGAGAGACCAGAAGAGGGCATCTGATCCCCTAGAAATGGAGTTAGAGATGGTTGTTAGCTGCCATTTGTATGCTGGGAACCCAACTGAGGTCATCTATAAGAGCAGCCAGTGCTCTTAACTACTAAGCCATCTCTCCAGTTCCTAATTTCACTCTTTTTTTTTTTTTTTTTTTTGGTCTTTTTGAGACAGGGTCTCCCTGTAGCCCCAGCTGTCCTGGAACTCGCTATGTAGACGAGGCTGGCCTCTAACTCAGAGAGATCTGCCTGCCTCTGCCTCCCAAGCGCTGGGATTAAAGGCATGCACTATCATGCCCGGCCCTAATTTTTTTTTGGGGGGGGTCTTTTTGAGACAGGGTCTCCCTGTAGCCCCAGCTGTCCTGGAACTCACTATGTAGACCAGGCTGGATTTGAACCCACAGAGATCTGCCTGCCTCTGCCTCCCAAATGCAGGGATCAAAGGCATGAGCCACCATGCCCGGCCCCCTAATTTCATTTTTAAGATAAGAAAAACTATTACACAAATCAACAAAATTATCTCAATGTCTCTATTAGTTCCCTAAAAATAAAACCCCCAAACCCAGAGTCTTATATGCTGGTGTATACAGTCACATCACTTACCTTCAGCACAGTGGGGAAAGAATGGAGAGGAAGGGTCTTTAACATCACCTCCTAAGGTATTACAGAGTGTAAGCTGTTAAGAATGCGGTCACACTCTAACTTCCTTAGCACTTTTTCTAAACTTTCATTCTAAGATCCCCAACTGAAAACCTTACTATCTAGAGGAGAGTAGGTGTATTTGCATTGAGGCCACAACTATTTGCTAAGATAAGTGGATAATGCGTATGAGACACATGCTTGCATGTTTGTCCACGTTAACGTGAACCAATGACATTTACTAAAACTCTGTCATTATAAAGAGCATCAAACTGAGGTGGAGATAGTAGTTATCAGAGGTTATTACCAGAATAAAATATTTTAAACAAATTTTTTTTTGTGGCAGGGTCTCATCCCAGGCTAGCTGACTCTACCTCCTAAAGCTTGGGATTAAAATCATGTGCCATCAAGCTTCATTTATGAGGGTACCGAGGCGTGAACCTACAGCTTTGTGCATGTATGCATGCTAGTAAAGCACTTACCAACTGAGCCATGTCTACAGCCCAACTATGTATTTATTTTTGGTCTTTTTGAGACAGGGTCTCCCTGTAGCCCCAGCTGGCAACCTGGAACTCAGAGATCCACCTGTCTCTGCCTCCCGGAGTGCTGGGATTAAAGGTGTGTGCCACCATACCCAGCAACTATGGGTTTTTTTTTTTTTGGTCTTTTTTGAGACAGGGTCTCCCTGTAGCCCCAGCTGTCCAGGAACTCACTATGTAGACCAGACTGGCCTCAAACTCACAAAGATCCACCTGCCTCTGCCTCCCAAGTGCTGGGGTTACAGGCGTGTGCTACCACACCCGGCTAAGAAATATTTTTAATTTAAAAAAAATTTTTTTTGGAGTGGGGGGGGGGCAGCAGCTGGAGAGATGGCTCAGTGGTTAAGCGCACTGACTGCTCTTGCAGAGGACCCAGGTTTAATTCCCAGCACCCATATGGCAGCTACAAACTGTTTTTAACTCCAGTTCCAGGGGAATCCGAAGCCCTCTTCTGACCTCTGCGGCATTACACGATGCGGGTGCACTCACATACATGCAGGCAATATGCTCATACACATAAAATAAAAAAATAATAAAATA